GAAATATGCGAATTTTATATATATATATATAGTATATATATAGGAGGAAGATATATACATATAAAAAAGATAGAGAAATATATTTAAAAATTTGTATTTTTTGTTTTCCTATTATTCCCTTCTTTTTTCAAGATTTTATCGAATCTAACATACCAAGAGAAAAATAATATTGTTTGCAATACTATCAAGTTAACGATCATTGAAACTTTCAAAGTGTGTCTTGCATGTAATACGATTCCCATATATCATATATAGATTTCCAATTATTTGCTGAATAGGTAACCGGATGTGATCGCGAACGTAGGAAATTCGATTACACGCGTCGCGTCGATAAATTCTTGAGTTCTAAATAAAGACGGAGCTAAATAAATAATTTCGTTTCGCGATTCGATGAATTATACGATTATTTCATGGTATCGGTCGATCGAAAATAAAGTTTATGGAGGTACAGCAGCCTCCGGGGGAGAGGAAGGGAGATAATCGCGACAGCACGAGAAATTCCTCATTGAATAATGTCGCGCGTATACGATGATCATTGCAGAAATGCTCGGACTACAAGGCCTCGAAAGTGAAGACTTTCGTGAGGACCGAACCGCCAGATACGCAGGTGACCAAGTCGGTGATCGCTCTGCTGCTGCACTACGGATGGAACAAATTCACGATCGTGACCGAGCGAGCCTGGTCGACGGTCGCCCGTTCGTTGCAAGAACAGGCGACCAAGAACAATCTCACCGTGAACCATTACAAGACCGTCGAGGATCGGCACACGTGCTGCGAGGAGAGGCTGCCTTGCTGCCAAGTCAGCGTATGGTTCCAACTCATACAGGAGACCAAAAATATGACCCGCAGTCAGTTCACATTTCCTTAAATTTTGCCCAGTTAGCTCGCAAGACACGATCGCGCTGAGCTCTTTCAGTGCGATTGTGATCTGAGAATTTTATAATTATGATTTTAATGATTCGGCAATTGTTGAGAGCCGGTATTGATTTCATTGATTTCTAGTTAAAAGTAGCACGCTTTTCTATTTTCTTTATTCTAATTAATTTATGTATGATAATATATTCTCTCTACTATTTATATATAAAAGATAATTTATGAATGATTAAACTTTTTTTTGTGCACTTTTATAAGATGTCAAATTTTGAACAAAAGTATTAAGTTTTCGTTTATATCAAGTTTATATGAATTATCATAATCTTATTCATTCTATTCAACGCAAAATGTTGTTATATTTATTACTCCAGTTTACATCTTCCTCGGCACGCCAATGTCACTAATAGATATGATGAATTCGATGCAAGGCCAAAGGTTGCTGGACGACGGACAATACATGGTAATACACGTGGACATGATGATGTATTCGCAACGCGAAGCACAAAAATATTTATGGAGTGAGTAAATCTAAACTTTATTGAATGTTAAACCAACCTTATCAAATGTTACGTTTATATTGCAAACAGTAACATCGATAAAACGATTGCGTAATCGTCTGAATCCTATGCTATTTATAGCATAATTGTCTGTGTGTATGTGAAACTAACTTTAATAAATTCAAGATTGAATTACTATTTGCCTCCATATTTCTCTTAACAATTAAATAAGATTTAATATTTTTAAATCTTACATCATGCAACTGTAATATACAACTGCTTAATTCTTGTGTGATTTTACAATACTAATAATTCACCATTATTTGCGCAGAACCGGAACATTTTGATACTCTAAAAAACTGCCTCGAGCCCAAGGACTTTTTGAAAAGGGCACGCTCGCTGATGGTCGTCGTATCAACACCACCAACACAGAATTACGAGGAATTCACTAAAAAGGTTCGGCAGTACAGTAACAAGGAGCCTTTCAATTTCGTAATTCCCCAGCTTCTGAGAAAGTATGAAAAGGTATTTTTAGATGCTAGCTCAACCGTAAACGCTCGTACCGCATAATCTTTGTTACACGTTTAATCTCCTGGTTTCAGTATGTGTCCATTTACGCGGCGTATCTCTACGATTCTCTCAAGCTGTACGCGAGAGCCTTGGATCAACTGATACGAGATCTACCGGATCAATCTGTCGAGGATCTCGCTAAAAATGGCACTCTTATAATTGAGACGATTATCAAAAATCATACATATCAAAGTAAGTACGTATAGTAATAATATCAGATAGATGTAATCTGTATCGATAGGATAATCTCGAGTGGTTCTTACGAACATTCGAGATCATCTAATACTAGATATACCAATGATAAAACAAATAGAAATAGCAATAAAGATCTCGGAAATGAATCGATATAGTTTTTGAGTTGGATTTCTTTTTTTGCTTTTCTAAACTGACGAAAATTAATGTCTAAACATTGTCTTACGAAAATCATTCTTTTTGCTAGGTGTGAGCGGGGCGACCATCAAGCTGGATAAATTTGGAGACTCGGAGGGAAATTTTTCGGTGCTTGCTCTGAAGAAAATTCCGTTCCGTCGTGACAACTTCTCCTGCGACTATCAAATGTCGCCCGTTGGCCAGTTTCTGCAGGGTGAAACTCTAGTGAGTGAGTTGTTTGTAGTATTTCGAGAAACATTTTTCATGACAGGTCGAGAATGGGAAAATAACACGTCTTGTTCCGCATTTAAATCGTTGTATCACGAAACTTGAACATGGCACAATGACTTGTCGAATGTACACGATATAATTGCTTGATACAGATGTACAAACCGTGGGGTGCCATGGAGTGGCCTAGTAAAACTAAGCCGGAAGCAGAACCTGGTTGCGGTTTTCTCAATGAACATTGTCCGAAAGACGACACACATCTCCGCAGTATCATTGTCGCCGTGGGGCTGGCCATCGTGCTATTCTGCGCTGCAGTAATGACTGTGAGTATATACCGAAGATGGAAAATAGAACAGGAAATAGAAGGATTGCTTTGGAAAATTGATCTGAGCGAGATACACGGCTATCCTCATCTCGATAACATGATGTCCTCCCCTAGTAAGGTGAGTAGATTATCGTATTAAGATAGATTTGGCAAAGTGCTTATTCATACGTGGATACATTTTTGATGCACGAATATACACGGTAAATTAACTTTTCGATTACAGTTAAGTTTAGTTAGTGCAATGTCCTATGAGTCGAGATGCGGCGGCCAAGTGTTTGCGCAAACTGGGCATTACCACGGTGTAGTGGTACGGATAAAGGAGCTGAAATTCTCGAAGAAAAAAGATATTTCACGGGACGTTATGAAGGAGATGCGCGTTCTCCGTGAACTTAGACATGGTAATCTCAACACTTTCTACGGAGCGTGCGTGGAACCGATGAGGATATTATTATTTACCGACTATTGTGCCAAAGGAAGTCTTTATGTACGTTATAGCGTAATCACGGTGATATGCTTTTATTCATAGTACAATGTACAACAATATTTATAAGTGCATTCACTTTTAAAAATTTAAACAGTAAGGTGATGAGATATTTGTGCTTATATAAACGTATATCATATCCTTTTTCAGGATATCATTGAAAACGAAGATATAAAATTAGATGATATGTTCATTGCATCGTTAGTTCACGATCTCATTAAGGTAGGTTCTCCTTAACACAAGAGAAATCAAACTATGATATCGTAAGATGATTTTAGAAGTGTCTTTTATTATTCTATTAAATAGGGTATGCTGTATATTCATGAGTCATCTCTACTAGTCTGTCATGGTAATCTAAAGTCTTCCAATTGTGTCGTGACTTCACGCTGGGTGCTTAAAGTCTGCGATTTTGGTCTTCATGATATGCGTCATTGTGCCGAATCTGATAGCATCGGTGAACATCAGTATTATCGAAGTATGCGGATATTTTTATTTTCACGTCAAATATCATATTTCATCTTATTTTAATCGAGTGTTTCATCCCGTTTCAGGCTTGTTTTGGAAAGCGCCCGAGCTGCTAAGAAACCCGCATGCTTCGATTAGAGGCACTCGAGAAGGAGATATTTATTCTTTTGCCATTATTCTATACGAAATGCTCGGACGGAAAGGACCGTATGGAAATATAAATCTGGAACCCAAAGGTAATCATAATAATACAAAGAAATAATATATATCTAAAAGGAGAGTATTGAGCATTATTTGATTAAAAAAACCACGACGAAAAATAAATAAGACTATTTCGATAACTTGACAGAAATCATAGATCGAGTGAAAAAGTTCCCGGAAGATGGTGAACCACCGTTCAGGCCTAACTTAAACATACTCTCCGAGTCGAAAGCAAATTGCGCCGATTATGTCGTTGGTACTATTATGGATTGTTGGGCGGAAAGTCCGGAACTTAGACCAGATTTCAAAATGATAAGGACCAGATTAAAGAAGATGAAAGGTGGATGTAGTCGAAATATAATGGATCAAATGATGAATATGATGGAGAAATATGCGAGCAATCTCGAAGATCTAGTCACCGAACGTACGGGACTTCTTTTGGATGAAAAAAAGAAAACCGAGGATTTACTTCACAGAATGTTACCTAAGTGAGTAAACTGGCATGTTCGTCACCGAAATCTACATAGCATGAAAATAAAATTTCCGCGGGGAAAGTATGCGCGCAAATGTGTACATTTACAAAATATTGCTTATTTTAGGCCAGTTGCAAATTGTTTAACAAACGGTATTGGAGTAGAACCGGAAGCCTTCGATTTGGTTACGATATATTTCAGCGACATCGTCGGTTTCACGGCGATGTCAGCAGAAAGCACACCATTTCAGGTAATTTATTTTCACACATACATCAGTCTCATAATTAATAAACCTAAAATCACTTTTACTTATGTAATTTGATTATACCGATAGGTTGTAAATTTCTTGAATGATCTGTATACATTGTTCGACCGTATAATCAGAGGATACGAAGTGTACAAGGTAGAAACGATCGGGGATGCTTACATGGTCGTAAGTAGCATTTTTAGAAATAATCAATTAATTATGAGAAACAAAATTATTTCTTAGTGCTCGATACTCTTCAATCATTCAGGTTTCCGGTCTTCCAATCAGAAATGGAGATCAGCATGCTGGACAGATAGCATCGATGTCGCTGGAATTACTTAACGCTGTCAAACATCACACGATACCTCATCGGCCTCAAGAAACTCTCAAGCTACGTATCGGCATTCATACCGGTAAGAGATATTAAGCATGTAATATATATATGCATATATATATTATGATCGATAATAATATGAAAATAAAATTATAGGTCCTGTGGTAGCGGGCGTTGTCGGTTTGACAATGCCTAGATATTGTTTGTTCGGAGACACTGTCAATACCGCATCTCGTATGGAATCTACCGGAGAACCATTACGAATACATATAAGTAAGCAATGCAAAGAGGCGCTAGATAAGATCGGAGGTTATAAGATCGAAGAGCGCGGCTTCGTTGAAATGAAAGGAAAAGGAACGGTGAAGACGTATTGGCTCACGGGGGCTACAGTGACACACAGAAAAAATATAGAGGTTTGTGAATAAAAATTTGCAGAGTATATATGAGATCATATTACAAAAGCATAAAATTGTATAATAAAGATGTGTTGATAAATAAGAGATGAGTTTGATAAATATAGATCTTTTCTTAATAAACTCTTAAATTTCAATTAATTTTAGTTTTATGTTAAATGTATGTGAAATTAACAAATTAAAAATATAATACATATTATTTATTTATGTACTTGAAGACTAATGTGCAAACTTTTTAATGTTAAATAATTGTGTAATTTACATCTGTACATCGAAATCATCATCAAGGAAAAAATACACATCAAACTCATTTTTATTGTTCATTTCCTTTCTCTTGAAAAAATTGGATTTTTATGTCTTCACAGAACTTTAACGAGGACGAAAATCTTCCACTGCTGTTCTGCAGACCACGAAAAAGCCCAAAATTAAATCCGGACTCACGATACGCATCACTGTTAGATGGATTAGGTGCTGGAAGTCGCAGGCAATCAAATGTACCGTATCCAATGGCTGATGATTCGTCTTCCCAGTGTGGTGGATCCAGTCCAGTTCCGCGACTATTACATGCTCGCAAACTCGAGAAATCCCCCCTCCCTTTAACTGAAAGTGTCTCGAAGACCACACTAGACAATATTTCATTTCAGGAAGAAAGTGCGCAGAGACATTTCAATATCAAATCAGTCGACGATCTGTTCATAAACACGGGGCCGAAATTTAGAAAAAATGCACGTGCCCTGTCTACCATCGCATCCTCATCGTCAAGCGACTATCCATCTCAAACTGTCATACGCGAATCTCGCTCGTTGGACCCGATTCCCACTGATATATATAACAAACGTTTCGAATCGCCAAACTTTTGGAAGGAAAATGAATGCACGCAGACAGATTCGAAAATGGACATTTCAGAGAAAATGTTGAACAATAATTATCCTAATGGCAATGTGATAATGATGCCTCATACCGATAACTCACCGAATGAAGCAGATCCGTTGTTAGGTGACGATAGTGAAGGCAAAAACGAAATACGAGAGAAGCGTTCGCGCTCGCTAGATCAGGTGGTATCTGCATCTAGCATGGAAAGTGTACCTGATAAAAAGTCTTCCGCGCGAAAATTGTTAGAAATTCCACCTGTTTCAACCATCATCCAGATGTTCAATGGTAACGGATTGCGGAACAGCAACCACTCTTTAAGGAGAGGAATAATACCAGGGTACGATAAGCAAAACGAACGCGAAAGTGTGGTCTAGTATATACATTCGACAAATATATTTTTTTAAGTACGACAAACTCGATAGCAAAGAATAAAATCATGTGTAAAAACTGTGCGCTACCAGATGCATAACCATGTGAAACATATTACGTTTACGAGTCAGAAGCATGATTTATTGTTGCCATCTTTTTTTTTCTTTTTTCTAGCTTAGTTATGTGCAATTTATGTATATGAAAGTTACCGACATACGCGTTGTATATTTTTAATATTTAGATATTTTATAACTTGTGTGCATTAAAACGTGTGCATCGAAACGATGCAGAAAACAACTTTTACATGATTTTTACAGGATCTCTCCTGTTCTCTTCTCTTTATTAAGATTTTTAATTTGAATTTTGTAACGAAAACAGTAAACTCTATTTTATAAAAATCATGACCAAAGTACACCACGGACATTTAGATCATCCAACAATTCATCTCGTTTAATAATACGAAAAAGGAATTAGGATGGCATTGCATATAATCGATGTCAGAATGGTTAAAAGAAGCTTTTTATTTTATAGGTAATTTCTAGTTTTATGTGAAAAAAATAAAAAGATAAGAAATTACGCACACCCACACACAAAAGATAATTATTCAAATTATATATAATAATTAAATCTGTAGAAGATTATCTAACAAACGAAAAGTTTCTCAACCATTCCAATGTCGACTGTATATACACGCGCGCATAATCAAATATGGAGTATGGATGTGTAAGTGAGACGTGTGTATATAATACATATATTAGCATATATGTATATCTATAGTATATATAAGTCTATACTTGTTCAATTAATTGAAGGAAGCAAATTGTCCGTATGGCTGTGAGAAATAAACTAGATTATACCTAAGGTGCTTAGTAATATATCATGTTGTCAAATGTATATAACTAAAAAAATAATATATCAATGTAAAAATAAAATGTAAATTAAAAGAATTATTACCTTCTATATGAGTCAATTAAAGATTCAACTTCTCAAGTTATTGACAATTTTTCACACACACTAATATGCTGTTAACTTTCATTTCACAGATAATTACAACATAAAATGTCTATCTGTCCAAGTCAGAGATGAAATCTTTATATATTTACATGTTATATATACATAAATTATTGCAATCGCATATTTCTATAATGCAATCATAAAGATGCATTTTACGAATTAATGGCAGAGTAAATTAATCTTGACCCCTAAGAAATTTTGACATGAAATCAGTTGGTTTCTTTTCCCATGTTTCCTTCCAATAATACATAAGTGATCCCTTAGGTTTCCAAACATTAGCTACTTCTTGCAGTTCCATTTGACCCTGTTCAGATAATAATTTTATATTTAATGTGATAACTATAAAATTTAATTATTAATACACAGATATAACAATCTAATATTCAATTAAATTTTTCAGATGTATGGCATAGTTACAGAGGGAAAAAGAGAATCTTGATTTCAATATAATATATGTATACATTATAATTATTGTATAAAAATAATTATTGTAATATATAAAATTACTAATTGCTAACATTTATTTGTAAAGATTCTCATATTTGACTTATATTCTTACCCTTATAATAAGCCGATCTATAATCCTTAAGTCAGTCACATGAGCATGACGTTTGAACTCTTCACGTATCTTTTTCTTACATTCCGCTTCACTCTTGGGAATATCGTAGCTTAGCACTATAAGAAAAGAAAAAAACTAACACATAGAAGTGTAAAATTCTAGAATCAAATATCAATAGAAAGTAAAAGGCATTATAGAGAGTAAAAGGTTTTACAAAATGATAAAAATAATTAACAAAAAGAGATGACAAGTTACATTATAAGATAGCGCATAATATTATATGTAATGAAACAAATGCATTTATAGAATATTGTAGATGCTATTATCAAGATAAATGAATACAGATATTATTAAAGATAAATACCTTTAAATATATGTATCATATAGGTTAAGTACACGATAAAAGAGCAAAAGCTTACACAACATACAACTATAAAAATTACGCACACGAGGTTGGCACCTGACGAATCCATGCTTTATACAACTTAAGCACTTTTCCACGTGCATCTTCTCTGTTAACGGATAAAATTGGTTTCACTTGACGAACAGCAGCCGAAGTTTGAGATGCCATTTTTATCAATTTTGATTGACTAACCTGGACCAAGCACCAAGTTATACCAGAGTACGATTACGTAGATTGTGGTTATAATCGTAATATATACTAGGAAAAAAATTAAGAAAATTTATTTCATTTTACATGCGTCGTATAATATACATAAAAATACTTCAATTATAATTTATTGTTACTGTCCGTATTATATATCAGAATAACAAAACATCACGCGCAGCTAATATTTGTATCAACGCTAGATAACGTCTCACAATCAGCTGTTGCTTCAAACTGTTTTACCCACACTAGCTTGGTTGCAAGTTACAATATATTACGCGATATTGCCAATTATTGCAGATTACTCCAATCCGTCAGAAAAACCGGTCGGATTTGTTGTTCATTTCAGAAGAATTATTTATTTAATTGTAAGTATTAATATTGTCAAAAAAGTTGTATTTTACTCTGTACATAAAATATTTTCTTTACATAAAGCATGAAATTCTTTGCATTTTATACACAGCTGTAAAAGCTTAAAAATAATTCCAACATATCTTATATATATAAATGTTGATAAAAGAATTTTTATTTAATCAATATATAGTAAATTATATTTGTAACACATGTAACTATATCATATATCTATATGTATATTTTTTTTTTTTTAACATATGGCCATATATTTTTTTTATGTATGTGTCATCATATTTAATATATCACTTGTGTAGAATACTTATTTTATTTACAGAAAGATGGTTGTGCGGCAATATCAAGAGGAACTTAAATATCTGGAAAAAATAGATGAATGTTGTTGGAGAATCAAAAAAGGCTTTCAACCTAATATGAATGTAATCTTTTTTTTTCTATTGCATATAATAAAAAACATAGCTGCAAGATAAACAGATTGACAGATATAGATATCAATATTTTGTAAAACTTAATGTTGATTATATTTATATGTATTTTATCTTATTATAATCAGAGCAAATTATAATTCAAGGTTGAAGGAGTGTTTTACGTGAACAATACATTGGAACGTTTAATGTTTGATGAGTTGCGCAATGCATGTCGACCAGGTGCAATTGGAGGTTTCCTTCCTGGAATGAAACAGATTGCTAATGTTGCAGCTCTGCCTGGTATTGTATGGAGATCTATTGGATTACCAGATGTACACTCTGGATATGGCTTTGCTATTGGTACAGTATACTATTTTACATTTAAACATTTATAATTTGGAGCGATTCTCAATGTAGCAATAATAAATAAAATAACCAAATGATAATGTTGAATGGATATTATTGCATCTAGGTAATATGGCAGCATTTGACATGGATGATCCAAAATCGATTGTATCACCTGGTGGTGTTGGTTTTGATATAAATTGTGGTGTTCGTCTATTGCGAACAAATTTATTTGAGAGAGACATCCTACCAGTAAAAGTAAATCTGATATTCTTTATTTACAACAATTTATTTTTACTTTGTGCATTGTAAAGTAGTAGTGTAATGTATATATGTAATATTGAATGCATGTATGTATGTATGTATATATGTATGTATGTATGTATGTATATAAGTATGTATGTGTAAGTATGTATGTATATATTGCATATTAATAAAGATTCACAAATAATAT